GTGATTTTTAAATTTGTGTAATATTAATCTTATTTTTTTAATCCATATAATGGATAATGTATTATTTAAAGTTATAATATTAGTCATATATTTTTTCATCTACATAATGGATAACATAATGTTTAAAGTTATAATATTAGTTCTATTTTTTAATTAATATAATGAGTGTTCATTATATAAGATAAAAAAATAAAAAATATAGTCTTTAGGAAAAAGTTAAAAAGAAAAAATTAATTAATTAATTATGAATTTTTTTTTTAGAGTGAAAATTCTAAAAGTCTAATATAGTGCCTCTTTCTGGAAAGCAAAAACTGCTAACATGGTTCTTGAAAAAGTCAAAATGACATTTTTAGAGAGCCGAGATCTAAAGAGACTGATACGAATGCTCTAAAAAGGACTATATCCGTTTTTGAGAGTTTTTCATACTATTAGACTAAAAAAGGTTATAAAACTCTCTTTAACTAAAAAAAAAAAAAAAAAAAGGTTATAAAACTCTTATATATTAAAACAAAAAAGGGGAATAATTAATTCTTTACAAAGAAAGATATTCGTCACTCTTTCCATCATGAAAATTAGATATCAACAACGACTAGGATTATCAATAAAATTGGAATACAACAATCCCCAACGAAAGCTTGTAAAGTTTGGATAACCAATTTTAATTACGATTAACTTTACTCAAACACTATTTATTGAGTAACGCTCCTTATAATTTCAAAGCCTAGTGCAATTTTTGCCTCCATAGCTTTCATAAAAAAATGAAAGATTATCACGTAAAAATTTTATTCCCTCTTTCTATTTATTTATTTTTTATTTTTTAAAGTTTTTTAAATTAGTTGTCTCATTTGACAAGTCAAAGTCAAAACTTATTATTATTTTCATAATTATCCTTTGAGTTTAAAAAACTCTCAACTTGATGATATATACATTTAAACTTAAAATAACAAAATGGTAATTTTATAATTATCATGAAATTGTTATAAATCAACACAAATCATAAGTATCTACAGTCTAAAAATTAGTCCTTGGAATGAATGTTTTTCCATAGAGATGAAGATCAGTGCTTGGGAATGAAAAATAAAAATACACACTACCACAAGTCAATTCCAGCTCATTTAGACTTTCCACCTAGTGGAGCTATAGTGCTATACATTAAAAACAATTATTTTGATGTGAACTTGCACTAAAGAAAAAAGACAATTAAAGAGTTTTTCATAAATTTTTATTGTCGACTGACCAAGACAACTCCACAATTATTTCTGATGTGAACATGCATGTTGACAATTAATTATTATAATAATTGGGAAATATCATATCTCACAATATAATCTAGTTTTTCTTTCTTTTCCTTTTTTTTCACAACTATTAGAGATTTTATTTTTAATAATAATTTAAAGACTAAATTTGATATTTATCAAATTTAATTTATGCAAGTAAAGTGATGGGACACCACCATTTTTGTGAGTAAGATGATGGAACCAACCATCCCATCACATAAATTAAATTCCACACTATTCTTTTTTTATAAGGTAAAGTGTAAGAAACCTCCTTAAAATATATCTCTTGTGCAACTAACCCCTGAAATTACAAATAACCCCCTCAAACTATGAAGATATTGCAATTTAGGACATAGAAATCATATCAGGTAAGTTTCCGTGGCCGGAATTTGGTAAAGTCGTTTTTGGCCTTTAGTAAAACGTGGTCATTTAACTCTTTAACCATGCTTTTAAAGTTGATTAATTGATGTGGCCCCTTGTATTCTGAAGAACCACTAACAATTCGACACATCACCAACCTTATCACCATTAACTGCTTATCTCTTCCATTCATTCTGTTTTTCTCATTTTCTTTTTCCAAATTTTATTTTTTACCGTCGTCTCTTCCATTCATTCATTCACGTCGTATTGCACTCACGAAACTGTTGGGTCGCTGAAGCTCTTCGAGACTTCGATGTAGGTCGTTTGAAACTGTGGCTCGCCGGAGTTCATCGCTGAAGTTTCTGGGTCTGTCTGAAACTAACGGTTGAGGTTCGCTGAAGCTTTTCCAATGGATTGAATGTTGACGCTTTTCAGGTTGGGTCGCTTCTCAAGCCCTCTATATGGAGCTCTTAGTTAGGTCTTCAATGGAACTCTAGTTCAGTTCAAACACCTCTCCAGACCATTTTTCTTAATTATCTTGTCTTGGCAGCTTCGGTTCGGAGCTCACCGATCCAATTTCAATGGACACTGCCGCTCAGAGCTCGCCAGAATGGATGGGTCATTGTAGCTCTGCACTTGTTTTCATCTTCGGTTGGGCCGGTGGTCATTTAGTTTGAAGCTTTCGGGTCGTCGGTTTGATTTATACGGTTAATTTAGTCGTTAATGCTCAGAGCTTCTCGCCGGTTGAATTGTTGTACTTAAACCTTTTCCGGTTGTCAATGTTCTTTATTCTGGAAAATAAAGAACTGTACAAAGGCAATGCTATATAGGTGCAGATAGCCCCTGTCCGGCCGTGATGAAGTTTAGAATCAAATAAGAGTAAGGGCAAGAAAAGTACACTAGATTTCTTTCTTCATCCAGTTCAAGTTCAATGTTTGGTTGCCCCTCATACTTAGATCTTTTGCGAGGGAGAGCCTGTGAGAAAGGAGTCACCTCACCAATTTTCTCTAATAATAACACCTTCGTTTTCATTAAGAACCTCTTTTGTGTTGGAAAAAAAAAAAAATGTGATCTTTTGATATTATTTTAATACTCATTCATCCAAATATATGTTTCATCTTCCCAATTTTGTTCCTCCTTTAGCATCTTATACAATTTGTTGGTTTGATCTCTGAAGCTCACTGATTTGTTCTCTGAAGTTTAGTGTTCCGTTCAAGGCTAAGAATTTCTGGGACACACAAATAGGGCATGTTTGGCTGGGGGGTCTAAAGATTCTAAGAAGGGCAATTAGGTCTTTTAATTTTCATAAGGGCTTTATGGTCATTTAATTTAAATTGGGTAGTCACGTGCCATTTTAACAATCAAAATTCAACCTCTGACCGCCGGAGTGGGTAATATGCACCAAAAATGGTTAGTTGAGGGGGTTATTTGTAACTTTTATAGTTTAAGGGGGATATTTGCTAATTGGGTCATAGTTTAAGGGGGTTTGTTGCACTTTACCCTTTTTTATATTACTCACAGAAATGGTAGAGTCCCTCTATATATATATATATATATATATATATATATATATTATAGAAGAACTCTGTTAAAAAAAATAAAAAACCTCTAGTTAAAGGCCAAGATTCTGCAGTATTACAATTACTAAACTGCTCATGGCCTCTTTTGCGGATTGAACAAACTTCGCCTCTGAAACAAGATAAGCCAGTTAAAATATGAGTATATGTTTTTAAAAAACAAGGTTGAGGGTTCGAGTCCAATTAAATTACGTAACTATTGATATAGATGAAGAACCTGTGAGCCACAGATGTATCCTTTTTAACTGCAGAAATCACTGTATAACATATATGCATGCATGACATGATGACAGGCAAAAGATGTGTTGCAACTTGGAAAGTTAATTAAATATGCCATTTATGTTTTGGTAAGTTAAATATTTCATTTATATATATATATATATATATATTGGTTTTCATCAGTGATAAACTTACCTCAATTTTTATTTCTGGCTGCCCCTGTTTGCTTGTGCTCTTCACTGGAAGACAATCTTCCTCAATTTTTGAACATATAAAGAGGTGACTGTGGATGCTTATTTCGGTTAATTGAGGGATTTAATCTTGGTTTATTTATTTTTTTTTGTTAAATTTTGAATTTGAAAATTTTGATTCTCTAACTAATTCCAAAGTTATTTTGGTGAACAGAATTAGATTATTGGTTTTCAACTTATTATTTGGAGGGATAAAGGAAAACTATCCCAAATATAATATCTGCTGGAATATCTTACACATACAAGAGATGAATACATTTATTCCTTACTTATCCTATCAATTTCCATCAATATTCATATACAGTCATCCAAAGCCCAAATAGAATGTCTATTGGCATAACTGTGTGAACATGAGTGTCCTCCAGCCAAAAAAGGTAGAATTCTAAGCTGATTTAAGATTTAGGCTATGTACGTTTGATATCTGTCCAAATTTGATAGGTGAGTTGGGAATGAAAATGATGCCTCTAATAGGAAGGAAAATGAAAAAGAAATGGACTAGGCTTTGAAATTATCATTTATCAAAGTTTTAATTTCAGGTCGATATCATCACTTTGATAAAGTTTTAATTATTATTTTTTTTTCGGAAGGTAAAAGTTTCAATTATTGGACATACATGGAAAATGTGAGAATTTCTGAGGTGAACATGCATCTAAACCAATTGCTCTGTGCAAAAAAAAGTAGACCACATAATTTCAATGGACAGTTCTTTACCCCTTCCTTCATTGACTGACCAAGACAATTACACCATATACTTTTCTCTCGAGCATAATTTCCATGTAGTCAGGGAACCAGGAATCTGGAATTGGGGGCCCACTTAGTATTATGTAAATTTTGAAAAAATTATAAATAACTGTTATATATTTTTTTATATAAATATTGATCTACTGTTTCTATATACATATATCTTGAAAATATATAATTCAAAAAAAAAAAGTGCAACCTAAATAAATAGATGGAAAACTAATATGAGAAATAAAATTAGTTTTTCTCTAGTAATTGTTTCCATTTTTCAAAATTTAATTTCTGATTTTTTTTTTTTTTTTTGAATACTTTGATTCTATTTTCGCAAATATATATTATTATTTACTTGATGAAAGATTTTAAAAAATTAATAAATAATTTTAACTAAACAAATCTCATAAGGTTTAATAAAACACAATTATTATGATTAAAATAAAAAAGTACTTTAGTAATTTATATAAGAGTAAAGTGTAAAAAAAACCCATGTATTATCAATATAGTGCAAAAAAATCCCTGTATAGTATAAAACTCCTTATACTATCGATTTGGTACAAATAAACCCCTTAAGACTTAAAATGACTGTAATACCCTTATGTCAATTAATATGTTAAAATGTAGCCATTTAAAATTATCGTTTTGTCTATTTTTAGCACCTCATCTTTCTCCTCTCTTCTTCCTCTCAGTTTTCTCTCTCCTCTCCACCTCATCTTTTCCACCCATCGCTGCATCTGTGAGCTTCAGTTTTGGTCGTCGATGGAGTACGTCGAAACCGAAGTCACCGCCGAATATAACTCAACCCCTTCAGCAAATTCACCGTCATCATCCTCATCACCACCTGATACCCAACACACCAAGCCAAGATCATCTAAAGAACCCAACCTATCATAATCTCCACATTTGACAGACAACGACATCAGCTCTCTGGGCTCAATCTCTCCGGTGTCCTTGCCTCCCACATGGGTCACCTTTGCCAATCAATTATACGGTCCACTGCTGCCCAAACATCATCACCGAGTTCCTCGTTCGCCGGAAGCTTACTGTAACAGGCAAACTCAACCCCTTCTTCCAAGTTCATCATCACCAACCACTCGCCCACACGCCAGATGCTCCTGTGAGTAAATCTGACTCGCCCTTCACGCGCCCTCGCGCTCCTTCTTCTACAACGTTTTTCCGGTGCTCTTCCATCTGTCGCCAATGTTAACCACCTCCTTCACGAAACCGTCCCAAGTTGCAGACAAGCTTCCGATGATCACCACCTACTGCCGGTGCTTACCACCATCTTGTGTGACCCAGCCGGAAAATCATCATCTCTTCACGCTCTGTCTTACCCGGATTCGCGTAGTGGGTTTGCTAGTGTTGCGAAACATCACTTCTCTCTCCGAAGGATGTCGCCTGTAACGGTGGTGGGGGTGATGGCCTGTAATGGTGGTGGGAGGAATGGCTCATTGGTGGAGATGAGACAGAAGGAAGAGAGAAGAAGATGAAATTATGTAATATCGGATTTTCAGATTTATTTTTTTGCCAAAAAGTGATTAAAGGGCTTATTTGCATATTTTTTAAATATTATAGACTGAAATGCATATTTTTAAAAAAGATGGACTAATATTTGTTCACATAATCTATATTTTAGGAGGATTTTTTGCACTTAACCCTTTATAAAGTGAGTGGTTATAGATTTTTTTTTCCATTTATAACTAAAAATATTAAAATATATAATATCATTATTATTGTTGACATTTTTGCCATTGTGCTCTCACAATACTTTAATTTTTATTTCTTTCCATTCTCTCAGGATATGTTGATAGAGATTTATATATAATTATATTTTTATATCTTATCTTATGTTATGCAATTGTTAGTGTAATGTTTGTAATTTATTTACATATGTATATATTTGTAGTGGAAAAAAAAAAATTTAAAAGAAAAAGATTTTTCATTTGTGCTGGGACCCACCGCTAACATTAATTTGTGGCCAAGAGACCAATTTGGTCTCATTTCTTCTCTCCCCGTAAGCTCTCTCTTCCCCTCACTTTTTTTTTTTTTTTTTTTTCTCTTTTTCTTTTGATCTCAAACTTCACTCTTCAATTACTTTATCAATTGTTGAAATTTTTGGGTGCCGTTTGCGGCAAATCGGAGAGCACGGCGCGATCCACACGTTGATATAAGCAATTCCTCATTTGGTGCACTTTAGGGATTTCGAATTTTTAGACCCATTTGAGAGTTTTTGTATCTAAGTGAGGTATGGGTGTTCTAATTCATGTTTTCTTTGACCTTTTATGAGTTTTTCCCCTTTAATTTGATTCTAAGCATGGTTGATTTTAGCAATTTTGCCTATGTTGTTGTGGTTGTATGTAATTAAGGTGATGAATGTATTATATATGTTAATTGAACCAATGGTTATGATTATATACTTGGTAGTGAAGATACATGCTTAATATTGACATTTTAGGTGTTCCATGATTTTTAATTGTTAAGAAAAGTGATGTTGAAATTATGAAAATAAATGTTAGGTTTTCCCTTAATAATGTGATATGTAGATGGAATGTATGGGATTTATTGTAAATTTTCTTGAGAATTGCCATGATGCTAGATATATGTTATGTATCTCTATGGGTGTTATGTGTAAATAATATATCTTTGTATGATTTATTGATTGGATATGGAAAGCATTCTTTTGTGATTATGTCCTTGTTTAATATGAGTAATTGTAGAAATTTTGTTGACTTAAAGCATGCTATAAATTCATGAAAAAATTCTTTTTTAGTATGGAATGTTGTTAAGGTTTGATGATGTGAAAATTATGGTAAATTGTGAAGTATGAAGTATTCATGCATACATTGAGAAAGAAAAAGGGAAAAATTACTTTTTTTAAAACCAATGAAATTATTTTAGGGAAACGTTTTTGAAAGTGTTTGTGAAAACTGGACGTCTAGGAGGCGCCTAGTGGTCATTGGTGTTAGTGTGGTCTAAAAGGGAGTATGGTTGAGCTAACTAAGCCGGATGCAACGCCTTAGAGGTGCCTTGTGATCGTGGATAGCTAGTCAACCCTCCATTCATGATGCCTTTGAGGTGCCTTGGGTCGGATTACACTATTGGTTTGGAAGTTGAAACGGTATTGTTTTGGAAATAAGAAACGACATTGCATGGCATGACATTACATTGGCATACATTGTACACTTGGTAGTTAGACGACTTACGTATGTATTTGTTAATTATTATCGTTACTTTGCTTGTTTTTCTCAAGATATGATCTCGTTCTCTCGTATTCTATTTATTAGATGGATTCACGATGTTGTAAGAGGTGTGTCTTAGACGCTTTTAACTGAGCTTTATGCTCACCTCATCATTTTAATATTTTTCAGGTCACGGGAAGGAAGTAGCAGATGACGTTCCTCTATAGGTTTGAATGAGTTAGTGGACTATTTTATTATCTTTTATATTTGAGATTTCATTTGTTTTGTATAAGTTTTGGGATGACACGTACATTATGTGTCGGTTTTAGAACTTACCATAGTGCCTTTAGATGATCTCGGATTCGGGTAAGAACCCGATTAGTGATTCAAACCCTCGGGTTCGGGTCGTTACAGTTAGGCAGGAAGATTGTCCGATTTTTTTTTTTAGTTTCATATACATGTAGTTATGCGTTCGTCTAACTTCACAGTGAGAAATAAAAGATAAGTGAAGAGGGACGGAACTAATGAAGGTCCCCTGAGTTGGCCCGCACTCTATAATATATGTGGTAATTTTTAAAAAAAAATTCATTATGCCCCGTCCCCCCCCCCCCCCCCCCCAAATTTGTTTGATTAATAAAATTATCTCTTTATTTTCTCTTTTACTCTTCAAATTCCATAAATTTCCTTAATTGAAAAAGTCAAAATTTTCTTCCTCAATTGAAACCTTTTAACTTTTTCCATTTAAAGTTCTCTCATTTTTCTTCCCCCTTAAAGGAGAGATTTTGCAATTGTACTTGATTGATAAATTTTTTTTAGAATGTCTTGAAATTTCGGTACGAAATTCTTAAAAAGTACTTTCCAATTAGTGAGTTATTCTTATAATGACACTAAGAAGGATTATGAAACTCTTATATATAAATTTTAGAGTAACAAACTTCTTTAAACAAACATATCCACGTCCCTCTTCTCTTCATGAAAGTTAGATATCAATGGGTATGACTAGATTCCACAAAATAAAATTCGAAAACAACAATCCCAACTTTAAAAAATCTTCTATTGTTCTTTTTCCACCATAGTTAATAGATTAAAGCAGCCTGAAAGCTTGTGAAGTTTGGATAACCAATTTTAATTACCGTTAAGTGTACTAAAAAACACTACATATTGAGCAACGCCTGATTTCAAAGCCTAGTGCAAAATTTGCCTCTATTATATAAATAAGTACGAAGGTAAAAATTCAGGCCCAATAAGGTATGGAGCCCAAATGAAAGAAATACAATGCTGAAGTGCAACAAGCCCATGACCCATAAACACCCAGCCCGAATCCAACAATTAAATGGTTATCATGAAACCCGTTGCGGTCCTCCATACACTCCCGAATCCAACAATTATTGCTTTCGTTCAAATTGATAGATCATCACCTAAAGATATAATGTCACAAAGAAAATTAATAAACCATTCAGTAAAAGTTTGTTGCCACATATGGCCCAAGTATAACACTATGTTTTATGATTATCATGAAATTGTTATAAATTAACACAATTCATAAGAATCTACAATCTAAAAATTACAGTACTTTGAATAAAGGATTTTCCATGGAGATTAAGATCAGTGTTTGGACATGAAAAAAATAAATAAATAAATACACCCCACCACAAGTCAATTCCAGCTCAATTTTAAACTTTCCACTAAAGAAAAAGTCAATTAAAGAGTTTTCCATAAATTTTTATCGTTGACTGACCAAGACAATTAGGCCTTACACTTTTCCCTTGTAATACCAAGTCCCTCAGAAATATTCAACAATAGCCTAAACAAGAGATGCATATATGATATATGTCACACATTACACTCAACTGCTCAAGCCACTTTTGCGACTGGAAAATGGTACAATGAACTACTAGTTTTAGCCCAGGAAAAAAATTTTAAAAATTAAAAAAAAAAGGAGTTGCATATATGTACAAGCCATAAAGAAAATGAAAATAACATCAGAGGACTTTAAAGCAAGTACAAGCCATAACAACCCCATTGTTACAAATCAAACCGAGCAGAGAAATTTAATATATATATATATATTTCGTATGTTGTCGCATTGCAGTGACAAGGTCTTCCTATAGAGTGCCTATACAAGGACGGAAAGGCTTGTGACTTTGTACACACCAAAAATTAGATCTTAGAAAGTTATCATAATGGGCTTGCACCATGCGATGCTTGTGCAAATCTCCCTGCTGGTGCTGTTGACACTAATGTCCACAGCACCAACTGCTGCACCTACAAAAATACCTATAGCCAAACCCGGCTGTGGTGATCATTGCGGGGATGTAAGCGTCCCATACCCATTCGGCATGACCCCAGACTGTTATCCAGATGAAAATTTTCTCACCACCTGTGACCACTCTTTCGATCCTCCCGAACTATTTCTACGAAAGAGTAAGATAAACGTTACCAAAATATCACTCGAAGGTCAGATGCATGTGTTGCAGTTCATAGCTCGCAATTGCTATGATGAGGAGGGTAACAGGCTCTCCTACGTCGACCCTCCCAAATTCTGGTTCATCAAAATTTTCATCTCTAACACCCAAAACAAGTTCATAGCAGTTGGGTGTGAGTCTGTGACACTTACACCATTGTTAGAGCCGATAAAGGGGACAAGAATTACACAACCGGGTGCATGTCCATATGTGACAGCATGGATGATATCACTGAGGGGTCTTGTTCTGGTGTTGGCTGTTGCCAGACACCTATTGATCCAAAAGGGACGATCGATATTAAACTGAGATTAAGTAGCTATTACAATTACAATCATACAACTATAATCGACTCCAATCGCTGTAGCTATGCCTTTGTGGTCCAACAAGATGAGTTCAACTTCTCCAAACAATTTCTTCAAGATTTGCCGCACAGAGACAAACTCCCGATGGTGCTGGATTGGACCATTGGGAATGAGACATGCAACGAGGCTCGGAAGAACATGACTAGTTATGCATGTAAAGCTATTTATAGCGTGTGTGATGATCCAGATAACGGTCCTGGGTATCTCTGTAGATGCCTTTAAGGTTACCAAGGTAACCCATATCTGTCCGATGGTTGCCAAGGTAACGTTTTCACCATATTCTATCATGTTTGGTTCATAGCTTCAATTTCATCGCTTCTAAATGTTTTAATTCTTCACAGATGCTTTAATTAATTCTTTGTTTTTGCAGATATTGATGAATGTGAGAACCCTCTCAACAAGTGCCCAAAAAATTGTAAATAACGTAGAGATCAAGTCCAATTTCGAGATCTTTTCTGCGGAACGAACAACGAGATAAATTGCAATAACCAAAGCATGGAAATCGATTTCTCTCTCTTGGCCTTTTACACACATAAATATTATACGTGTTGTATTTATTAGCGTACATAATTGATGTGATATATGCATTTTTTTAAAGGCAGAGAGATGATCGGTTTTCCTTTTTAGTAACCTTAATTTCACTTTCCATCAAAGTAAGGAATAAATAGGAAAACACTTCTCCAATAATTAATTACTATAAAGGTAATTTATAAGTTGACCAAATAATATAATATTAATCTGATACCTATTTACTTAACCACTAATTAATAAAATATATCACATGTCCAAAACATGTGGGCCACACAGTATAAGAAAATATCTTACAGTCTCCCACTTGGCCCATATGATAACTTCGGTAGTGGTTTAGTAAAATAATCATTAATGTGCACTATAAATCAAATTGACTCATTAAATTGGTCATCATAAATACCATGATAAATAAACTACTAATGCGAGTCATGGCGGTTATATGTCCTTGAATGACACAGTCCCTTCCATGTACCTCAACACTAGTAATCTATTCAACATAGTCTATAAATGAGAAGTATCAATAATGATCTAACAATAATGTCTTTTCCAAGACTATTCCTATTACCATTTATTAAAGTAATACGTACATGTACATTAATTAATAGGAAATATCAGAAACACATTTAATCAGCGCAAAATGTCAAATACATATAAACAGTGTTAAACAATCCACAATTAAAAAATAATCATCATTGACTACATTCAAAATCCATTCTTTCAACACGTTCCATAAATGTCATGGGTGGTAGTTCATTCGTTAATGGATTGAAATCATAAATTGTGTATTTATATGTTCAATAGACATTCTTTGTTTCTAAACATCTTTAATGATAAAGTATTTCAACTTTAGAGTACCTATCATTTTTCATACAAGAAGATCAACAATTGCAGCATAAATTTTTAGCAATCTGAAAATAGTACCCATAACTCTAAGTCCTAAAATAAATTCTGCAACAATATAATACCCCTAATTTTAAAAGGATAGTCTCAGTATTTATTTATTTGTTTTAATTGTATTTTTTAATTATTTAATTAATTATTTGACTAATTGCTTATGTATTTAATTGAATTAGATATTACTTGACTATTTGATTATGTGTCTATGTATTATTTGTATTTGTCTATGTGTTAATTGTTTAATTAGTTTATGTGCTTAAATGGTGTTTTGATTAATTGTAAATTAAATGTTTTCTTTTCTTTTATTATTTTATTTTATTTTTCTTTTATGGTTATGGTTAGTAGTAATGGGCCAACCAATTGGGTCTCATGGACTACTTGGATAGGAGGTTGGATGTGTATGGATTATTACCCATGGATAATGTATGTATATATATAGATATATATTATATACATATATAAAAAGGAAAGTAATTTATTAATTATTTTTATGGTAACTTGGGTAGTAATATTTAATCTGATATATATGTTTTATATTTAAATAATAAAAATATACATAGATTTGATACGTGTTATGTTTTAAGTTACTTTATAATATTATGGTAACTTTAGTATTATTGGATAATCCATTAATAAATAATGGAATGTGTATAATTTATTTATTTAATAAACATATACATAAATTATATACGTAACATATTTTACTTACCTTTTTAATATATATATATAAAAGAGAAAGTAATTTATTAATTACTTTTATGGTAATTTGGGTAGTAATATTTAATCTGATGTATATGTTTATTTAAATAATAAAAATATACATAGATTTGATACATGTTATATTTTAAGTTACTTTATAATATTATGTTAACTTAAAAATTATTGGATAATCCATTAATAAATAATGGAATGTGTATAATTTATTTATTTAATAAACATATATATAAATTATATACATAACATATTTTGCTTACCTTTTTAATATTTTTATTTTTATTTTTTTTTAGTTGACTTGAATTGTGAAAAGGGTTAGGGTTATTTTATTTAACCTATAAATATATAGCTATAGGTTGTAAAAAAGGGTTAGAAATATTCACGTGATTTATACTGGAGAGATAGTGTTAGAGAGGGAAGGAGGAAAATGAAGGAATGAAAAGAAAAACCCTATTGAGAGAGATCAAGGAAGAAGAAGTTTAACTTTCGATCCGAAAGTTTAAGTCAAGTTCTTCTTCTATCTCTTTCCCTTTGATTCATGTTTCTGTACATGCCTAGGAAATTCCAGAATTTATTAAACA